GTGCGCGGGTGTGCGTCTGTGTGCGTGCGTGCGCCCGAGAGAGAGAGAGAGAGAGAGAGAGAGAGAGAGAGAGAGAGAGAGAGAGAGAGAGGGAGAGAGAGAGAGAGAGAGAGGTGGGCGGGGCGCGGCGCGTGACAGCGCATTGTCACGCTCCATGTGACAGTGCCACGTGATGCCCTGCAAGCTTCTGTTTCCTCTTTTCGAGTTCCTATATTTTACGTAGAACGTATATATAAAGAAAAAGCGTGCAGTATGCAATTGACATGAGGTTGGCATTTCGCGGTTGCGGTCGTGATCGGTCCAGGTCAACTCTACCGTGGTCCCCCGAACACAACGCACCCTCATCATGGAAGTACCGGATTGCAAAGATGGCTAGTATAGATTCACAATGCTACCGGGGGCGCTACGTTAGGGGTGAAGAGTCTGAAGACAGTAATACCTGCTGACTAGGGTATTCGAGCCCTCGTCCTCCTGATTAGGGGTGTCCTCGTCGTGCGAACGGCGGCCAGAGGGCAGGATGCGGATTTCTCATCGTCACTCTCTGCACATGCAGGGAGTGGGATGACCTGCATGCTTGTGGGCCTCGCTCCACTGCTCACCAGATGCACAAAAGACAAAGAACATGGCGGCACTATGGGGCAAGATACATTTTGCACTTGCACTTTGGGCACCCTACCTGACCAGAAAGCTGGGTTGTGCACATTGCCCGCAAATGCAATTCTAAACAGTATCTTCGCCCAGAGTGCAATTATAACTCATTTTTGTGACTTTACTGAAGTTACCCCAAAAAGGGGTAACTTCCTTTTTTTTTTTTTTTTTTTTTAAGGGTAACTTCAGTAGAGTCACAAAAAACGAGTTATAATTAAAACATGAACCAAAAAAAAAAGGGTAACTACGCCATAGTCACAAAAAACGAGTTATAAATGCACTCTGGGGCAAGATACAGTTTTCCATTACGCTTAGGACACCCTACCTGGCCAGAAAAATGGGTTGTATACATTGCCCGAACTGCAATTGCAAACTGTAATTGCATACTGTATCGTGGCCTTTACTGCAATTATATTTCATTTTTTTGTGACCCCTGCCTAGTCTTTTCCCAAAAAAGGGAAAAGCAAACGAAGTACCTTTCTTTTTTTTTTATAACTAATCTATTTTCTTCTCTCAATCTTGTTTGCATATATTTTCGTAATCTATAGCATCTTCTCTCTAGTTCTCTATGTATAGTACGGCGGGACCACCACCCAACCAAAGCTGGAACTCTCCCCAAAGGTCATTTTAGCGGAGGCCTCAATCTTCAGACCACTTGTCAAGTTGTCAGGCCATTTATAACAAAAACCCAAAGGTCATTTTAACCAAACTTGCCACCAATTCATAGAGTGTAGATCCTACTAACTACTTACGGAAAAAAAAATGAAAAAAAAACTTTACAATCCTATTAAACAGCAAGGCAAAAGTGTGTTTTCATGCAAAATTCACTCATTTCAGTTTTCAGGATTTTCTGGATTTTTCAGGGCTAGCCAAAACAGTCAACTCCAAGACCCCAACAAACACCAAACTTGGCAGACACAGACCTTGAGCAAAAATAAAACAAAAAAAAAAAAAAAAAAAAAAAAAAAAAAAAAGATAATCTCCAATGCACTTTTCAGGGGTGAAGGGGTTAACTGGGCTGAAAAGTGGGGGTCCCTGTTAACAGCTTATGCTAGCCCGCTGGGTAGGTTGCCACCACAGCAGTGGTGTGAGAGCAAGGCTTTTTTAAGCCCCTCACGGGAGAGAGAGGGAGACAGAGACACAGACACACACAGACACACAGAGGGCATTGTTGAGTTTTCGTACTTTCCCCTTTTTTGTTTTTACCCGTGGCTCTTGGTCACAGCTGGCGTGCGTCTGCTTGTTGTCATTATAGTATTATGGGGAACCCTATAGCAGCCACATCCGTGGTCAAGCCTCTAATGAGGGATGCGGGAGCTGCACCCACCAGCAGGTGTGATACCTGCTTCAGCAGGTGGCCAGCCGGTAGCATCAGCACCAACTTCTTCAATTGGCCAGTCGCTGCGCCTCCCGGGGGACCAACGCCGATCCCTAGGTGCCGGGTGCCAAGCTTGCCCAGGAAGGTACATGAGGGCCATATGATGAGGCCAATGGGGATTGAGCCCAATTGAGCTAGGCCACTGGATTGGAGCCAATTTGAATCTACGATAATTCAATCATTGTATCTATTTAAAAAAAACAGCACTATGAAGTGGATCTAAACCTACACAGCCTATCAGACCACTAGAAACGAAACAGCAAAACGGCTTAACAAGTAACCAGAGACAAAGTAATACTGAATCATTGAAATGGTAATGGCAAAACAGAGAGCACAATACTTTCTAAAGATGGATGACAATGGCAAAACAGAAAGCACAATACTTTGAACTTTCCAAAGATGGAAGTCCCGCGGAGGAGAAGGAGGCCCTAGTAGAGAACCCTCCCCGAGAACACAGCAAAACAATCAGACGTGAACATACAACTAACTGACAAAACTAATAACAAAGCTACGCAAAAGCTCAGCCCCCCCAAGCCAGCAACGGAGCTAGAGGAGGAGGCTGGCTGGGCCTGCCCAGGCAATATGCGACGTAGAAGGCAATCTTATGCCTCCTGGTAAGCTTCCAGAATGGTGGTGCGCAGGCCCAGGGACATGGCTTTTTTTTTTTTTTTTTTTTTTTTTCACTTGAACATACATGTAATGGTAATGACAGCAAGTTGCAGGTCGCACCTACAAAGAACGAAATTTGGCAGGTAGAACTGCACTACCACCTCAGTTGCCTGCGTCCATGGCAGCCTAAGATAAGCGATAGTATGCACAGATCTCAAGCCCTAGGCTGCTATTGCTACAAGGACGAATGGAAATGTTGACGTAGTTTTTGTTTGAACAGAGTCAACAGACATGTACTTGTAGTGACAGCCAGCTGCCGAGCCTACCTGCACAGGATGAAATTCGGCAGATAGAAGTGAACAGGTGCCTGAGTTGCTTGCCTACATGACAGCGAAATGAAAATGATAATGTACACACCTCTCATTGCTGCTACTGGGATAATTGGAGACAGATTGACTATTCTGCTTCACCCCATTCACCCCACTAACAGGCCCTTGATGTCACAGTCTTGCAGTCTGGTTCTATAGCCTATGCTTAACCTCCAGTTCAATACGGCAAGCTGACCTCCCGTTCCCCTAACCCCACCCTTCAGATGATGCACCCTGTCTCTGTGATCCAATGCAGCTGTAGTTTTAAAACAGCATGAATATCCCTAGAGATATGCGGTGCGGCTTCTGGTGAGCAGCACTGCTATGCTTAGTCTCTCCGTGTGTAGCCTTTATACCTTTGGTTCCAGTCAAAACTTGTTGTGTCTGGTTCACTGAAGAGCTGAAATCGGTGGGCGGACTGGACAGGGGTTGTTGTGTGACTCTTGTTCGGTTGTCGCCCGGGATTAACCGCTTCATCCGCAGTGTTTCTCCTTCTATGAGGAGCCCTTGTCTTGGTTGCAACCAAGGCTAGTAGAGTCACATTCATGCTGCCGGTAGACTGCACCAAGGCGAGACGATGCCACGGTGGACGTCTTCTCACACGCCTCTGCACACAGAGAAGGACCCAGAGCATTCGGGAGATGTGCTCCATGACACCAATGTGACGGACCATCGCCATAGCACTCATGAGTGTAACCGCTGCACATCTCCATCGCAACTCCTCAGGATTGTCTGCGGCTGCATGAGGGCGCATGTTTGTCCTCCTTGGAATAGAGTACTGCAGTAGACTGTTATTTGCAGAATGGCCATGCACGCGCCCCCAGCCGAG